AAAACTGGGAAAACAAGAACCGGGTCCCCAGGGTAACCTTTCCTCAACCAGCATATCCCTGGTCATGCGGTTTGGACCCCTGCTCTTTCATCTGGCTGGTCAGGTGGTTTAGACAATACCCCAAACTGCTCCCCCTCCTACCCCCCCAACCCCTCCCCCCTTCCGCCACACACACCTTTCCTCGAGCAGTGGTTCTCAACCTTCTGGCCCTTTAAATACAGTTCCTCATGTTGTGACCCAACCATAAAATTATTTTCGTTGCTACTTCATAACTGTAATGTTGCTACTGTTATGAATCGTAATGTAAATATCTGATATGCAGGATGGTCTTAGGCGACCCCTGTGAAAGGGTCGTTCGACCGCCAAAGGGGTCTCGACCCACAGGTTGAGAACCGCTGTGTCTGGAGCGATAACATAAAAACCAGGCAAGTGACATCCTGGCTGCCTCAGGACCAGCTGCATTGACTAATGACCCCCTGCCCTGGTGCTGACCAATCAGAGGAGATGATGACCCTGAAAGAGCACTCCTGGAAATTTGAGGAATATTCTATTGAGACCTTCCCCTGAGACCTCCCCTAAGAGTCCCACCTACAGAGAGAAATAAATACCCTCAACACAAAGGACCCAGTGCTGGCTCTTCCCCAGGGGAGCACACCGGAGCCGTTCCCTCTCTCCCTCTTCCCTCTTAAGGGACCCACAAACCTCGCAACCAGGGGAGCAATGGGCAGTGGCAGTTCACCAGGCTAACCCCCTGGATCTGCCTCCAAGGCCCCCCTTTCTCTGACTGCTCAGAGAGACAAAGCAGACAGCCTAGGCCAGTGACGTCGAACCTTTTGAGCTCGGCATGTCAGCATTTTGAAAAACCCTAACTTAACTCTGGTGCTGTGTCACATATAGAAATTTTTTGATATTTGCAACCATAGTAAAACAAAGACATATTTTTGATATTTATTTTATATATTTAAATGCCATTTAACAAAGAAAAATCAACCAAAAAAATGAGTTCGCGTGTCACCTGACACGCGTGTCATAGGTTCGCCATCACTGGCCTAGGCTCTCCTGTTGCTTCTTCTATGCTCTTCCTTGTCTCACTGTCCTAAGTGTGTTATTGCTGCAGCCAATATATTTTGCTGCACTTTGTCTCTTAATTGAAATGTTTCCTTCAAGAAGACAAGAACCGAGGTCTTGTCGTCTCACTGGTGTAACACTACCATGATCCGGCAATTCCACTTCTGGGTATATACCCCCAAAGAATCACAAGCAGGGTCTCAAACTAATATTCATACCTCCAGATCATAGCAGCATTATTCACAATAGCCAAAAAGTGGAAGCAACCCAACTGTCTATCAATGAATGAAGGTATACATACAATGTGTACGACTATAATGGAATATTGTTTTGTCTTAAAAAGGAAATTGACACCTGCTACAACATGGATGAACCTTGAGGCCATCATGCTCAGTGGAATAAGCCAGTCAAAAAAAGGACAAATACTGGATGATTCCACTTATATATAGGTCCCCAAAGCAGACAAATTCTTTAGAGTGGAATGGTGGTTGTCAGGGACTGGGGCAGGGGGTAGGTAGTATAATAGGGACAGATGTTCAGTTTTGCAAAATGAAAAGGTCGTGGAGAAGGATGGTGGTGATGTTAGCACAATGTCAATGTACTTAACGCCACTGAGCTGTACACTTGAAAATGGTTAAGATGGTAAATTTATGTCATGTGTATTTTAACAAATTAGAACTTTTTTCTTCATGACCATATAATTCAAGCTTTATAAAGGTTATTAACATTTGAAGATTCAGTGGAGAAAAACAGCACCCCTTTTATTCTACCATATTGCTTTACCTTAATTGGAAATGACTGGCAGATTTGTGGCTGTTTAGTCTTGGCTTGAATTATTCAAGATGACTACAGCTTCCTTGCATATATTATTTCTCCTCCAAGAGCCCCTTGTGCTTCTAAGTGTTATAGCCATAGAAAATTCTGTCACCTGTGGGGTCCTCACTAGCCCATTATAATTTCTTGATCAGTAAAGGCAGGTTTGGCTTAATATGAAATATGCAAAAATATTTATATTCTACTTTCAACATAAATCTACGCCATTAAATTTCCTGAATAGAAAGAATATATATATATTTCAACTGGCTGCTGTCATTTGAATTTCACAAATCTTTGGTAGAGCCAACATTTTATTTTTTCCTGAAATGTTGATTGGGGTTTCTTGTCAGAGATGATGGGGAATAAAAATAATTGTCTATAATTTTAACACCAGTTATCCTACTGGTAAGCAAAATGGCAGCACTGTGACATTTTAGATTATTGGGGTTACAATTTAAAGTACACATTTGAGAACTAGTCCTTTATAGTGTAGTTTAACATTATAGTGTAGTTTTAAAATAACTATATTTCTCTGCCAGGCACCTTATGATGCATTATCTTATTTTATTCTTCACACCAATCTTATACACTTTGCCCTCTCTATTTATAGATGAGGAAACTGAGGCTAAGAGAGTTAGGAAGCAGGCCCCAGATATTTAACTAAACAGTGGCAGAGCGGGATTTGTCTGCTCAATTTTAGAATCCTGCATGTGAATTATTGCATATTATAGAATTCACTGCAGTAGCATCACCATTCTGATCAATTTTGTGATCAGAAGGCTCTGCAATCATCCTATAAACACCTTTTTATTTTATAAATCCTCACCCAAGGATATTTTTTCCAATGATTTCTAGAGAGAGTGGAAAGGAGGAAAGAGGGAGAGACAGAGAGAGAAACATTGACATGAGAGAGACACATCAATTGGTTGCCTCCCACATGTGCCCTACTGGGGCTGGGAATCAAACCGGCAACCCAGGTATGTGCCCATGACTGGGAATCGAACCCACAACCCTTCAGTCCACAGGCTGATGCTCTAACCACTTACCAGCCAGGACTAAACACCTATTTTTATTTATATTAGTATAACTAGAAAAACTGTTCTCTGTAAATAACATACATTAAAGTATTCAGGAAAATACTATTGAAACATTTTGTAAGACGCCGAAACCGGTTTGGCTCAGTGGATAGAGCGTCGGCCTGCAGACTGAAGGGTCCCAGGTTCGATTCCGGTCAAGGGCATGTACCTGGGTTGCGGGCACATCCCCAGTGGGAGATGTGCAGGAGGCAGCTGATCGATGTTTCTCTCTCATCGATGTTTCTAACTCTCTATCTCTCTCCCTTCCTCTCTGTAAAAAATCAATAAAATATATTTAAAAAAAAATAAATAAAACATTTTGTAAGAAAGAACTTTTCTTATTTTTGAAGACCTAACATCATATTCTGGACTCAAAGCAAAGATTATGACCACAGCAACAAGTGGGCAATCTGCTAAGCAAGACTGAGCTGGAAGTGGGTCTTATTTGCCATCAGTCCTTAGGGTCTAAATATCTTTTTGGAACCAATCATGGATACTCTTCTTTCTCATTTTGTGGTCTGTCATCTCACTTGGTTTCTGCCAAAGACTAGTGTTTTTGTGGTGCTTGTGCCTTGTACTAAAACTCCTCCAAAACCAATTAGACGCTTTTCAGCCCAGGTTTGAGAGAGCAGCAGCGGAAGGAACAGCCTCTGAGCCATGTCTGAGGGATGGCAGTGCTAGCTTTCATCCTGAGACAAAATGCTCTTTTTACCATCAGCTTTCTCTCTGCTGCCAATAGCAGGTAGTGAAAAGAGGATTTTGTATTGGAACAGCCAACCTAAGTGGTAAAGTCCCAGTGGAGAACCCTAAACTGTATCATTTATACAAACACACATCATTTCAATAGCTTACATTTAATGTACAAAATTTTATTTTTAAAAAGTCAATGAAAACACTTGCCACTTTTGCCTCTTATAATAATCATTCAATCACCTTGGAAGCTAGAGATTTTACAACACTGTTAAGACAGAGGTACAGGGATACATTTAGAAAAGAACTCACCCAGCCCCCACTAGCAAAGCCTGGGACCCATTCCCCTCATTTTCCTTTTGGTCTTTGTGATCAATACTGTGCGGCAACTAAGTAGTGAGCCTGCAATGTGTGGTGAGAAAACTGAGGTTCACCACTTTATCACAGGCTCTTCTCAACGGGAGTGATTTTGCCCTTCCAGGGAGCATCTGGCACTGTCTAGACTAGAGACATCTGTGTCACAACTGAGGAGGGGTGGAGGGGGAGGACAGGCCTATTGGCATCTAGTGGGTGGAGGCCAAGGTTGTTCCTAAACATCATACAATGCACAGGACAGTGCCCTACAGCAAAGAGCGATCCGGCCCAAGATGCCAGTGGTGCTGGGATGGAGAAATTCTGCTCTACAGTCCCATTTCTGGTGTGTGTGTGTGTGTGTGTGTGTGTGTGTGTGTGTGTGTAACTGCTGGGGGAAATTTAGAATCAGAACCAACAATACAGTTATCAGCCCTCACCAAATACTAGAATCTGACAGCCAGACTGACCACACTGCGGGGAAGAGGGGGGGCATGGTGGTGGTAAACTGGGGAGCTATTCAACAGTGATCAGCCCTGAGGCTCTGGTCATAGCCTGCTGACTCCTCAGGGCATACAGGTTGGGAAAGTGCCTAAAGTGCCAGGATGTTAAAAAAAAGAACTTAAAAAGTTAATCAAGAATTTTTGTAGTTGTCATAATTAGTAGCAATTTCTTGCAGCAACTGCCTGGGAAATTGTGATGTTTTTGTTATATATTTTTCCCCTTCTTAGTACACCTTAAAATCCCTTCAGTTAATTTGTGGTGTGGATATTGCATGCAATTCTTGAAGCTTGTAGTGACTGATACAGCATTTCATACTGATGTTAACAGACCCTGTAACTGGAATGAACTGTGGTAGTGATACCAAAAAATCTATTTGAAGAAAACTTAGCCCTAGACAGTTTGGCTCAGTGGATAGAGCGTCCGCCTGCAGACTGAAGGGTCCCAGGTTCGATTCCGGTCAAGGGCATGTACCTTGGTTGCGGGCACATCCCCAGCGGGGAGTGTGCAGGAGGCAGCTGATCGGTGTTTCTCTCTCATCGATGTTTCTAACTCTCTATCCCTTTTCCTTCCTCTCTGTAAAAAAATCAATAAAAATATATTAAAAAAAAAAGAAAACTTAGGTTTTTTTCTATACTTTGTTTATAATAGGAGCCTATGTGGAGAAAAGAGCACAAAATAAGAAAGCTGATTTAGTTTACATTCTCCAAATTTTTTAGCATAATTGGAGGTTATGGAATAAAGTAAAAGAAAATGATCTCCTGTAAATATTTCTGCTTTCCCTTTCAAAGCTCATCAGGCTTCTTTTTTCTTTTCTTTTTTTAAAATCTTCATCTGAAGATATTTTTCCATTGATTTTTTTAAGAGTGGAAGAGAGAAGGAAAGACTGAGAGAAATATCGATGTGAGAGAAACAAATGGAGAATGCAGTCATTAGGCCAAAACAATGTGATTTAAGAACCTAGCTTTCTTAAATCAACAAATGGTTGCCTCCTGCATGCGCCCTGACCAGGGCCCGGGCTGGGAAGGATTCTGCAACCGAGGTATGTGCCCCTTGACTGGAATCAAACTGGGACCCTTCAGTCTGCAGGCCGAGGCTCTATCCACTGAGCCAAACCAGCTAGGGCCAGGCTCTTTTTTCATCAAGCCTCAGGCATTGAGTTTAGCGGGTTGTTTGCTGTAGGTTTCTTTCCCATTTCCAGTTATGAAATGCAGGGAATGATTTTTGTATAGACAGAGAACCCAGGTCAGTGAGGCAGCCCACTCTCAGTGGCTCACTCACTAAGTGGGGGTTGACTTCACGGGTGGTCTGAGGCAGCCCGTTCTCAGTGGCTCACCCACTAAGTGAGGAGATGACTTCATGCTGCCGAAGCTGCTTCTAGTTAGTTCGTGCTGATAAACACCAAAGAGTTCAGAAGGTCTATGCGTGAGCACTGGTAGAGCGCCCGAGCCAGCTTTCCCACAGTGGCCCCCTTACTGCCTTCCCTCATCAGCCACTTCTGGAGCATCTGGTAAACCTTCTCTTTTAATCCATCTCTCTCATAGTCATGGTCAATTTCATCAATCTGAGATTCGGTGAAGCCCAGTTTACGGGCACAATTTTTCCAGGTCCTTCCCAGATTTTCCCTGACTGGGTCCAGGTGTTTATCAGTCAGACTAGTGGTATTATCTGCCAAAAAGAAAGGAGAAGACGTCAAGCTGAAACCCATTTGAACATTCTAGCTTCAAAAACCTGTATAAAGTGAAGAGCACCTGGAGTCCAGTGGAAAGATAACTTCTTCATTATAAGGCTATTGACTCATTGGGGGGTACTTTACATTAGGGGAATTTTTGTGAATTAAAATAAGGAACCTCTTCCTCCTAGCAAATGCATCTCTGAGCTGCAGCTGATGGCTTTGGGATTAAAACCCTTGCCTGACTGTTAGGCTGTTTTAGACAAGCTTAGCCAGCGGTCCTGTTTATACTAGATCTTCCTGCTGTAAAGGGGAAACACCATTTCTTTCCTTTCGGGCATTTTTCACTTACATATAGCCAGAGTTAAGGTCACTCAACTCCTGAGCCCTTCCCCCAACAGTTCTCTTTCCTCTTAATCAAGGAAACTGAGACCATCACGTGCAAAACTACTACTCAGTGACAATGTCTCCCCTGTCTTTTAAGGGATGAGGCACGGATACTCTTCAAGGTCTATTTCTGGACCCATCCCTCCCTGCCCCAACTGTTGTCCTCTCTTCTCCAATAGTCATAACCTCCCTCTTTCTACTGGTTCCTGCCTTTAGGCCTTCACAAAAATGACAAAAAGAAACAGAGATAGAAAATAATCACCACAAACAAACCATACTCCTCGATCCCCATTCTACCTCAGAAAGCTGAATAGAAGGAAAAAGACATCTCAGTTTTGCCCCTTAACTCCCACTCTTTCCTCAGCTCCCCGTAATGCAGCTGTTACCATCACCACTGGACCTCAACAATCCCCAAACCTCCCGAGATATTTGACAAATCTTGTCACTACCTCTCTGCAAGAGGGAACCCTAGGTTTCACCAGATTCTTAAAGATACCCCTGTCTCTCCCAAATTTAGGAACCTCTGCTCTAGGTATTTTAAAAACTATCCTTCAAGTGGGCTAGACCAGGTCTGTGGCCCAACGCTGGCCTGTGGCCTACTTCTGTAAACACTGTTTTACTGGAACCTAGCCATCCAAACACACATTGTCTGTGGCTGCTACTGCACTCCTGTGTAAGTAGTTGCAAGAGAGACTTCAAGGCCAGTGAAGCCTAAAACATTTACTATCTAAACCTTAATAGAAAAAAACTTGCCAACCCTAGGGTTAATCAGAAAGCTAGGTTCTTAAATCACATTGTTTTGGCCTGATGACTGCTTTCTCCAGGTTGTGTTTTGGGACTAATGTTATAAGCCTGCATAGTGGGACCCTATACGAGAAAGTCCTCATTTTCATTACAGAGGTGCTGTTAAGGGCACAGTCTCCTATCGTTTACACAATTCCTTCTGATGAGGACCTGAAGGAGCTCTGTCCTAGGTCTGGATAATGATGTTGATAATGATGATGATCTAATCCTTTTGTAGATCTTACTGTGTGCCAGGCAGTGTTCTAAGCTCTTTATACACCTTCACTCATTTAATTTGCACAGCAATCCATGAATTAGCTTTCCCATACTAAACATAAGTAAATTACAAAGACTTATATGGAAATTACACAGACATTTTACAGAGGAAACAGGGAACGACTTTCAGGGAGAATAATCAGATACACTTCAGGATTCCACTACATCCCTCTCAACAAGGAAGAAAGTACAAGGTTTCTAGACAATGGGCCCTTAAAGGGCATCTTACCAAAGGTATCTTGGTACTTAGAAGCTGGCTCGTTCCAGTTCACGTATGTGCTGTCCAGTAATGGCAAGCTCACTCCAACCTCCATGCGATTATTGTCTCCAATCTGAACGCCAGCACTGTTGTATATGGCATATTTTGCAGTCTCATCTGAATAGAGAGAAGCACACAGGTAAGCACACCTAAATTGAAAGTAAGGTGAAAAATGCAACACTGTAAAGGGCAGGGCTTCACTCCAAATGTTTAAGTTAAACTCTTAATTCTATGCCACCTTGTAAAATTTTCCTTCTTAAAATGTGGCTGAACCACATCCATTAGGATGACTACTATCAAAAACAGAAAATAACAAGTGTTGACAAGGATGTAGAGAAACTGGAACTCTTGCGTGCTAATGGTGGGAATATAAAATGGTACAGCCGCTGTGGTAACAGTATGGAAGTTCTTCCAAAAATTAAAAATAGAATTACCCTATGTTCCAACAATTCCTTTTCTGAGTATATACTCGAGAGAATTGAAAGCAGGGTCTCAAACAGGTATTTACATCCCTATGCAGCAGCATTCACAATAGCCAAAAAGTGAAAGCCACTCAAGTGTCCATCAATACTAGTAGATGAATGGATACACAAAATGTGGTATATACATACAATGGGATATTATTTGGCCTTAAAAAGGAAGGAAATTCTGACACACATTACAACATGAATGAACCTTTAGAACATCATACTAACTGAAGTAAGGATAAATACTGTATGATTGATTCCAGTTATGTGAGGTACCTACAGTAATTAAATTCAAAGACATAGAAAGTAGAAGGCTGGTTGCCAGGGGCTGGGAGGAGAAAGGAGAATGGGGATTTGTTGTGTGATGAGTAGAGTCTCAGTTCAGGAAGATGAAAAGAGTTCTGGAAATGGATGATGGTGACAATGTGGTTTTCATCACAAATGTTAGCCTTTGGCCTATATGAGATTAGAAATAAAAATATCCAAGACTTATTTCTTATCTTCAGAAAACAGCAAGCAAGTAAAAGAATATAAGCAGATACCTTGGCTTGCACCAGAGATTGGGTATAATGGGACCATGTGATTCAGGTTAGAGTGGAAGATGTCGGCCAGTTACAAAGCCTATAAACCAACACGTGTAGGCAGCTGCACTGAGTCCTACCCAAACTGAACTACCAGGCCACATGGCTGGATGGACACTTCATGGTGTAAGCTGCATCTGGCAGCTGAAGACTGAACAATTTGCCCCTTTGTTACTTTATAGTCTACAACAGAGTTAACAGCTATTTTATTTTCAGGAAAAAAAAAAAGCCAATTGGACTGAAAGGCCTATTTACCTCTTGATGTCAGGGAGAGGAATGGAATGGTGGGAGTGTTTCCCAGCAGGCTGGTCTCAGGCACTGGAGTTTTATGCAGGTTGGGTATCTGGCTTGCATTTGGCCCAGACCAAAATCTGGAATCTATTGTTCCTGCACCCAATGGTCTTGCTCTAAAATCATACGGATTATATGGAGTCCAGTGGAGTCCTTGGGATTGGCAGGTCAGTCCAGCTGGTTGGTGTACTGCATTCCCAGGACTGGCTGTGTTAGAAGAAGCAAGGCCTTTCATCCCTGGGTTTTGAACAGTCTCATAAGGTCTTGGCTGTGCAAAAGGGTCATGGGAGACCCTTCGTCTCCTTTCCTCCTCTCTGTTGTAAGCCACACCTTGTGTGGGTTGCTGTTTTGTTTGCTTGTCCATGCGGCTGCCATAAAGATGGTAGTTGGCTTCCTCCTGGAGTTTATTCTGCAGGCTGCGCTCACCCTCCTCCTGCTGGTAGTCTGGGGAGGGAGCAAACCAGGACTCCTCCACAGGACCCATCCTGAGACTTTGTGAACTGTGCAGTGAACGGGGCTGTTCTGTGGCTGAGAAGAAATGTTCAACATTGGAGTTTCATGAAACATTAAACAGTAAAATGAAACCCGAGCCCCATAATGAATCTGTCCTGAGATTCATTATGAAAACACCGAGAATAAGTAAAAAGCATATACTAGGTGGCCCTCTTCTTTTATTTGTGTTGTTTTTTTTTTTTAATCCTCACCAAAGGATATTTTTCTATAGAGAGAGTGGAAGGGAGGAGAGACAGAGAGAGATACATCGATTGGTTGCCTCCTGCATGCACCCTGACCGGGGACAGGGATCAAGCCTGCAACCGAGGTATATGCCCTTATTGGAATCGAACCCTGGACCCTTCAGTCCACAGGTCGATGCTCTATCCATTGACCAAACCAGCTATGGCTGGCCCTCTTCTTTTATATGGAACTAGAGGCCCGGTGCACAAAATTCATGCATGGGGGGTGTCCCTCAGCCCAGCCTGCACCCTCTTCAATCTGGGACATCCCTCTCACAATCCAGGACTGCTGGCTCCCAACCGCTCACCTGCCTACCTGCCTGATCACCCCCTAACCACTCCCCTGCTGGCCTGATCGCCCCCAACTGCCCTCCCCTGCAGGCCATCTTGTGGTGGCCATCTTTGACCACATGGGGGCGGCCATCTTGTGTGTTGGAGTGATGGTCAATTTGCATATTACCTCTTTATTAGATAGGATGAGTAGGAGCCCCTGCCTGACAGTGAGAGAGCACTAGGGAAGTTATAACGAGCAATAAGGTGGGTATCACAGGAATGACCAAGGAAGAAAGGGACTTGTGTTGCCGCAGTGAGGTGGCTGTCTCCTTGGTGTGATCCAGGGTTGGAAAATAAGAGCAACAGCTCTGGCTCTGGCCGGCTTTGCTAAGAGGTTAGAGTATTGGCCCATGCACCTAAGGGTCGTGGGTTCTAGTCCTGGTCAAGAGCACATACCTGGTTGCAGATTTGATCCAAAGCCCTGGTTGGGGCACGTGCAGGAGACAACTAATCAATGTCTCTCTCACATCCATGTTCCCTCTCTCTCTCTCCCCCTCCTCCCCTCCCTTCTACTCTCTTTAACCCATTGTACGCCATAAACGTCTGTAGACACAAGCAGTGGACCTTCCCCATACACCACATGTGTCTATAAAAAAAAAAGATTTCCCTAAGTGGCAGCCCTGACAAACTTTAAAATCATTTTTCATGAGAATTTTCAGCTGAAAATATTCAAGAACATCCGAATTGTGAGTAATATATTTATAATATTCATTGTAAACTGGTTTTTTAAATTAAATTTAAAATATTGTGGCGTGTGGGAATTATGTTTTGGACACATGGCAGTTAACTGGTTAAAAATCAATGGAAAAAATATCCTTGGGTGAGGATTAACAACAACAAAAAAGAGCAGCAGCTCTGTGCTAACCATTTTCCATGGATTCTTTCATTCTTTAAAAGCCCTATAAGAGTAGGAGTAATTATCATGATTTGACGGATGAGGTTTAAGAGGTTAAGTGATTTGCCCCAGAACAGATAGCTAATAAATGGCTTAAAACTCCTGTAGTCTGCCTTCCCTTTTGTTGTAAGGAAAAAGTATCCCTTCTTGACTCTGAGACCAACCTCTCTGCTTGTATTCCGGGTCCTGTCATCTCTGGCTTTCTCAAGGACTTGGGAAATGTCTTTTTCCTGAGCCATCATTTTCTCCCTATCAGATATTTTAGGACTCATGTTCAGGAGAGTTTATGATTTTGGTGAACTCAATGTTACTTAACATTTCAAATATATGTATCTTGGCTCCGAATACATTATAAATTCCTTTATGACAGGTGGTAAATTGTATAGCTTCTTCTGTTTTTCATGCGGTTGTGAATAATATTTTAGAGAGTAGAGTGCATGTATGAGCAAAAAAATAAGTGGATAAACAGATTTTCAACCATAGTCTAAGTTACCTGAATTTGACCTGCTTGGAGGTATTGCTACACAGTCTATTTGGAGAGACTGCATTCTCTTCACAACTTCATTTGGGCTAGGATACTCTTTCTATAATACAGAGCAAAATACATATTTTAGTAAACAGCAAAAATTGTTCTAGAAAATTATTTTAAGAAGAATGAATCTTTTCAGAAGGTAGAAATTTTACATAGCTCTTATAAGCAGTAAAAATTTAAAAGAATAAATGTTTCTCCCAAATAGGCAAAAAAACAATTTTTAAAAAAGAGAACAAAGCTGGAGGGTTCACACTTTCTGATTTCAAAAATCTCTACAAAGCTAGAGTAATTAAAACAACATGGTATAGCCTAAGGACATATAGACCAGCGATTTTCAACCCTTTTCATCTCATGGCACACATGAAATAAGTACTAAGTTCTGTGGCACACCCAAAAATATATTACATTTTTTGCTGATCTGATTTTTAAAAAAGGTATTTTGATTCATTCATGTCAGACAACTACTGTTGTACTGGCTGTTGTCATTTTTTTATTTCACAATATAAGGAAAAAGAGGTCAGTGAACCTGACTAAACAGTCAGGTATTGCATGTTTTAAAAATTCTTGCAGCACACAGGCCGAAAATCGCTGTGCTAAGTGAATATGCTACACACAAAAACATGACTATTGTGTGATCACACATCAGTGAAGTACCTAAAATAGGCCAATTCATAGAGACAGTAAGTAAAATAGAAGTTACCAGGGGCTGGGAAGAGAAAAAAATGTGGAGTTTAATGGGTACAAAGTTTCTGTTTGGGATTTTAAAATGTGGAAATGGAAACTGCTGATGGTTGCACAACATTGTGAATGTACTTATGCCACTGAACTGTACACTTAAAAATGGTTATTATGATGGCAAATTTTATGTATCTTACCATAATAAAAATTTTTTCCTACAAAATAATAATACTCATTATAGAAAGTGTAGGAATTTATATTTAAAAAGAAAGTCACACATGTGCCTTCACTCAAAGAAAAAAATTAACATTATGGCATTTCTTCAAGTCTTTTTTCTTAGTCATATTTGAGTTTTGCTCCTAATAGACTGCAAGCTACATAGGTAGATGGTTAAAAATATTCACTAAACAAACAATGAGTGATTTGGGGGAGACTGTTAGAGGATATTAATTATGTGCAAAGTTTGTAGCATTTTATAGATTGCTTTTTATTTAACCTGATAAGCATTTTTATGTTATTTTAATTTATTAAAGTAACTAGAGGCCCGGTGCATGAAATTCGTGCACTGGGGGTGCGGGACCTCCTCAGCCTGGCCTGTGCCCTCTTGCAGTCCAGGACCCCTAGAGGGATGTCTGCCTGCCGGCTTAGGCCCGATCCCCATTGGGCCTAAGCCTGCACCAGACATCCCTCTCATAGTCCGGGGCTCTTGCAGTCTGGAACCCCTCGCTCCTTACCGCCCTCCTGCAGTGGATGCAGGAGAGGCTCCTGCCACCGCTGCTGCACTCGCCAGCCATAAGCCCAGCTTCTGGCTGAGCAGCACTCACCCTGTGGGAGCATACTAACCACCAGGGGGCAGCTCCTGCATTGAGCATCTGCCCCCTGGTGGTCAGTGCACGTCATAGTGATCAGTCGTTCTGGTCATTCCACTGTTCGGTCAATTTGCATATTAGGGTTTTATTATATAGGATTGTTTTGTCTTGATACTTAACGTTTTATTACACAAAATATATAAGTACAAATTCCTTTTAAAAGACTCAAATTGTGCATAATCACACAGAGCAACACCTGAATGTTGTTTCTTTCAACCCACACTCTATTCCAGTCCCTAGAGGTAATTCTTACTCAGAGTAGGTTGCTCATCCTTTTAATCTCTCTAGGTATTTGCATATGTATTTTGAAATATGTACATATGTACATATACACACACATATATTCAAAAGGATCATACTTTAAGTATATTTTGACATTTTTTCACTAACAACAAGTCTTCAAGATCTTTCTGTATCATTATATGTCAGTTCTATCTCTTTTAAATGGCTATATATTCTGTAGTTTCAATGAATCATAATCTAATATATTTACTTATAAATTATTTGGGTTGTTTCTAATTTTTTACTCTAAAAAACTAAGGTGCAAGGAACTCCTTGACCTAAATCTTTGAGCATACATGTGAGTAGATTATTAAGAGTAGAATTGCTACAACAATTATATGCTTTTAAAAGTTTCATAGATGCTTCATTTTCAATAAACTTCACCAATTCACACTCCATTTGTTGTTGTTGTTCATTCTTACTCAAGGATATTTTTCCAGGGATTTTTTTAGAAAAAGTGGAAGGGATGGAGAGAGAGAGAGAGAGAGAGAGAGAGAGAGAGAGAGAGAGAGAGAGAAAAATACATCGACGTGAGAGAGACACATTCACTGGTTGCCTCTCGCACATGCCCTGACTGGAGCTGGGGATTTAGCCTGCAATGGTACATGCCCTTGACCGGAATCAAACCTGTGGCCCTTCAGTCCATGGGCCAACACTCCAACCACTGAGCCAAACTGGCTAGGGCAACCAATTCACACTCTTAACAAATAGTGCATGGGGAGTGCTTCTTACTCTGCATTTTCACCAACAGTTGGTATTACCAATCATTTAAAAATGTTGATCTTGCCTTAGCCAGTTTGGCTCAGTGGATAGAGCATTGGCCTGCTGACTGAAGGGTCCCAGGTTCGATTCCGGTCAAAGGCATGTACCTTGGTTGAAGGCACATCCCCAGTAGAGGGTGTGCAGGAGGCAGCTGATCGATGTTTCTCTCTCATCGATGTTTCTAACTCTCTGTCCCTCTCCCTTCCTCTCTGTAAAAAAATAAAAATAAAAATGTTGATCTTAGTGATGAAAAATTATAATCAATTCATTCTGCTTCTCTCTATTAATGAGGCCACATATCTTTTCTATTGTCCATTGATGGACTCATTTGGCCATATTTTATTCAGGACCATCTTTCTATATTAAGTGTGATTGGCCTGTAATTTTCCTTTCTTGTATCTTCTTTTTCAAGTCTGGGGAAAAGGATATGCTAGTCTCATAAAATGAGTCTGGGAGAGTTCTCTGCTCTATTATCTGGACAAATTTATAAGATTGAAATAATGTATTCATTGAATATTTGGTAGAAATCATTGATGAAGCTACCTGGCTGTGGAATTTTCTTAATGGGAAGAATTTTCCATCACTGATTCTATCTTTTTTAGTGGTTACAGGAATAGCAGGTTTTTAACTCTATTTGAGTCAGTTTTGCTAAGTTATACTTTATTTCTAGATATTTTCCCATTTTATCTAAGTTCTAAAATTAATTAGCAAACAGCTGTTCACAATATCCTCTTAATACCACATTGATGTCTACAGGAGCTATAGTGATGCTTCTTTAACTCATTATTTCAGTCTTCTATTTTCCCTGGTCTTAACTAGTAGATTTTATTAGCCTTTTCAAAGAACCAACGTTTAAATTTTTTGATCCTCTATTAGCTGCTTTTTTTGTCACTAATTTATGCTCTTCTCTTCTTCCTGCTTTCTATTTGCTCTAGATTTATTTTGCTATCTTCTCTAGATGAATGTTTGGCTAATTCATTTTCAGACTTTGATATATATATAAAGCAATGACTATATTTTACTATTAAGTACTCCTTTGCAAATTATGTACATTTTAATATGTAGCATCTTGTTAGCTCCAAATATTTTCTAAATTCCATTATTTTTTTTTTTACCCAAAGGGTATTTAAAAGTATATTTGTTAACTTCTAACCAATGGAATTTTCTAATTATCTTCTCATTAATTTCTAGCATAACTGAAATGTAGTCAGAGTATGCAATCACTCTTTATGTGATCACAATTCTTCAAACTGATTGAGACTCGTTTTATATTCCAGTACAAGGTCAATTTGTGAAAATGTTCTGTATGTTCAGAAAAGCCTTTAAAGATAAGTATTCTGCAGTTATCAGACACCCTGTTTTATATATTTCCATTAGGTCAAATGTGTTAATTATGTTCTTCAAAGTTTCTATATCCTTACTGACAAATTTTGTTTGTTCTACAAATTAGAAGGAAATTTGTATTAAAATCTCCAACTATGATTGTGGGTTTGTCTATTTCTTCTTTGAGTTCTGCCAATTTTTGCTTTCCATACTTTGAGGCCATGTTTTCATGAGCATGTACATATTTAAAGCTATTATTATCAACCTCGTGAATTGAACCTTTTATCATATGAACTATTACTGATTACTGTGCTAATGCTTTTCTGCCTTAGTGACTATCTTTCATGATCCCCCTTTGATGGCTTTCTTGGCTTGCAGTAGATGGCTCTCTTTTAAAGTGTGAAAGTCTGGCAATTCTTAACTGTCGAAATGTTTTTCCTTTTATGTATTTTAAAATTGCTACTTGCCTGCCCGTTTTATTCACTGTAGTCTCCTTTTCATGATTCCAGCAGTATATTGCTGGAAGACTAATGACAGTAGCTCCTTTCCCGAGTGTGTATGAAGGGCAGGTCTCTGCTCCCCTTTGTTGGTTAGTTGGTACTGTCTTTGACACACCTCTCTGACTCCAGGCCTCAGACTTACCGCTTCAGCCCAAAGCAGCTGCTGCTTCATTTGTTGCTCAGCACAAGGCAATTAGGGGGAGGAGCCAACTTGTATGACTGATACAACTGTGGACCCCGAGTAATCTCCTTGCCAATGTCTTAGCTGCCACGCTGTTTCTTCTCTATATTGGCTCAAGACTTGTTCCTCTGGTACTTCTTCAGCATTGTGTTCTGGGTTAGCTTTGCCTTTTCTGTTACATGTTTCAGCAAATGTAATTCTGCTGGCTTTCTATTTTTAAAGACCTCTTCCAATTGACTGATGCACCTAGGGAAATTCCCATTCTATTCAAGAGAAATTGTGCTTCTGTTTTCACATTGCTGTGTACAGTTTTTCTCATTTCATTAGTCTCGAAGAGGGAATGGGTCCAGAATGTGAATGCCAAGTTGGTATCGTCATAAAATTGATAATTTTCTTTTATGTGGCTACCACGCTAGCTTACCTCCAATCTCAGTAACACATTATATTGCTTTGGTTTTCATGACTAAAAATATATATGCTCTGATATATTAACATTTTTAGCATCTGCTCTATTACTTACCTTTAAACTCTGCACGTCCTCTTCTATATTTTCTTCTAAATTATGTAAATAAAAAGGCCTAAATTGTCCTTCAATGCCTAGATAAGGAAAACAGTACTTTAAATTTCTTTAGTATTTTGTAAAATAAAATTGAAATGTTAGTAATCTATTATCTTTGAATTACTAACCTTATCTGTGAGAAAACAGTAAAATAAAAATGTAAATATCAAGTCACTGACTTTCAGGAAAAGACTAACAAGATTAATAACTAGGGAGACAGAATAAGGGACAGTGTAACACTGGAGACCAAGAGCTCCTGCCTAACAGCATGTGGTTTATCTGGCTATACGGCACAGAGCCCTATCCACTGTGAGCTAACCTCCAAATGAGCCAGGATGGGTGCACTGTTTCTGCCCCTGTGGCATCAGATTTACATAGGATGCAATACTCAGAATGAGGATTTGGTATAAAGAGTTACAACTGCTGGCCTTGAAAGAAAAAAGCAACTGCCACACTCTGGACGAGGCAGTAGATGTACTTTTCCTTATTTCTCCTGCTAAGCACAATGGGGACCCCTAGACATTATATACAGAACAAATATAAGAAGACTCTGAGTGGAGGAGAGACAAAGGCAGACCAGATAGGGACTTTGGGATCTGAGAAAAGACATGACAATGAGTTCACTGGGTTTTCCTTTTGCCTCACAGATTCCAAACTTGCACCCGAAAAAGCTAGCAACCCAACAACAAAAGCCCAAACAAACCCCAACCAATAAAATACTTCCTATTCTATTCCAGAGAAATTGTGCTGCTGTTTTCATATTACATGAAACCATCTTACATGTGTATAGTTTCTCTTATTTCATTAGTCTTGAAGGAGGAATGGTCTAGAATGCCAAGTTGTTATCTGCATAAAATTGCTAAGGGGCAACCTAGCAGGACAGAAAACCTTCAGTCAATTTCCACACTGGGACCAAATTACACAGAAAAACTGTAGCTCCATCTCCATCCCTACCAGCAAAGGCTGAGTGTGAATGGATACATCCAACCTCATGAGACAGTAACAGGGTGCTCAACACTCCAACAAAGATGATGTCAGAGAGGTCCACGTAGGAGGCCAAGACTTTCCTTTCTGCCGGATGGTAAGGCGCCCCTCCACCCTGTAGGGTCAGTAGACTAAAAGGCAGACTGGACTTGCAACCTCACCTTGAAGTAACAAAATGCCCTTTCTCTGTCCCAATGGGGAAGTATAGAAGGAGGCACAAGGGGGAGTTAGAACTGTCACCTCCAATGCAGTGTCCATGGAGACCATGTGGACGCTGCAGGAACTTCCACCCCTGACCAGTAAACAAGGAGCCCGCTCTACTTCACATGTCAGCAGGGCTAAGTGGGGAATCTGGACTCCCCTCAACCTGGTACTAACAAGGTGGCAAAACTATCCCACAGACAACACGATGCCAGAGAAAGCCACCTATAACTGAAAGCTTAAAGAAGACCCAGATCTCCTAACACATTAAGGAAAAAAAGCCCAACATAAGTTTTATTGGGAAAATCACTCTCATACTGAGAACCAGGACGATCTCAAGCTGAATAAAAAAGAGACAATCAATAATCAATAGATGCCAACAGTGAGATGACAGATATTAGAATTACCTCTCAAAGATTTTTTAAACTTTATTTTCATTGTTGAGGGTATTACAGATGCATCCCATTTCCTGCCTGACCCCTTTGCCCCACTCCTCCTGGCTCCTGTCCTATCCCCGGCCTTCACTGCACTGTTATCTGTGCCCATGGGCTATGCATATATGCATGTAAGTTCTCCTTCCCCCCTCCCCCGCACCACCCCACCATTCCCTGTAAGATCTGTCAGTCTGTTCCATGCTTCCATGTCTCTGGACCTATTTTGTTCATTAGTTTATTCTGTTCATTAGATTCCACATATAATTGAGATCATGTGATATCTGTCTTTCTCTGACTGACTTATATTATTTAGTTAGCATAATAATCTCCAGATCCCTCCATGCTGTTTCTAAGAGTAAGAGATCCTTCTTTTTTTCTACAGCTGCATAATATTCCACTGTGTAAATGTACCACAGAATTTTTTACCACTCATCTACTAATAGGCACTTGGACTGTTTCCAGATCTTGACTATTGTAAATAACACTGCTATGAACATAGGAGTGCATATATTCTTTCTGATTGATGTTTTAGGATTGTTAGGATATAGTCCCAGAAGTGGGATTGCTGGATGAAACAGTTCATTTTTAATTATTTTTGTGCATGTTAATCCTTACCAGTGGATATTTTTTCCATTGGTTTTTATTTTATTAAATACTAGAGGCCTGGTGCATGAAAATTCATGCACTGGAGTTGGGGGGAAACCCTCAGCCCGGCTTGCCCCCTCTCACATTCCGGGAGCCCTCAGGGGCGAGAGGCAACCCGGCGATCAGGAGAAGCAAACGCCCCATCACACCTCTGCTGCTGCCACTGCCGGCAGCGCAAGTCTTGGCCGGCCCTGGTTACCTGAGCCTCAGGTGGCCTTGGGCAGGCTGGGCAGCCGCCATCCATGGCTTGCCTGTGCCTCAGGTGTCAGCTGGGAAGCCACCATCCGAGGCTTGCCTGCGCCTCGGGCCAGCCCTGGGAGGTTGGGGGATTCCAGAGGCAGGTGTGCAGCAAGGCCAGGCCTGCCTGGGGGCAGGCCTGGCCTTGCCGCACTTGCCACCCTGGTGGGGATGAGGGGACTGGACGCTGCCATCTTTTAGGGTGTGGCAGTCAATTAGCATATTCCCTCCTTATTGGCTGTGGGCACCACCATCTTTTGTGATGGCATGAGGGTTAATTAGCATATTTCTGCTTTATTAAATAGGATATATATATATATATATATATATATATATATATATATATATATATAAAATATAATTTTAGAGAGTAAGAGAGAGCGACAGAAACATCAATGATGAGAGAGAATAATTGATTGGCAGCCTCCTGCATTCTCCCCACTGGGAACCGAGCCTGCAACCCGGCATGTGCTCAGACTGGAAATCAAACCATGTGGGTCATAGGTGGATGCTCAACCACTGAGCTACACCAGGCGGCCTTCCATTGATTTTTAGAAAGCATCGAAGGGGGGAAGGGGTAAGGAGGGATGGAGGAAGGATCAGAGGGGGAGAGAGAGGGAGGGAAGGAGGGAGAGAGGTGAGATGCAATCAATTGACTGGGGCCAATGATCAAACCTGCCACCCAGATATGTGCCCTTGACTGGGAATCAAATCCATGACAATTTGGTGCATGGACTGACAATCTAACCACTGAGCAACATGGGCTGGGGCCCATTTTTAATTATTTCAATACTGTTTCACAATGGTTGCACCAGTCTGCATTCTTACCAGCAGTGTACTAGGATTCTCCTTTCTCCACATCCTCACTAGCGCTTGATATTTGTTGATTTATTAATGGTAGCCATTCTGGCAGGTGTAAAGTGATACCTCATTGTAGTTTTAATTTGAATCTCACTGATGATTAGTGACATTGAATATTTTTTCATATGTCTCAGCCATCTCTATGTCCTCTTTGGAGAAGTGTCTAGTCAGGTCTTTTGCCCATTTTTGGACTGTTTGATTTCATTTTGTCAAACTGTATGAGTTCTTTATATGCTTTAGAATTTAACCCCTTATCAGATGTATCTTTGGCAGATATGTTCTCCCATACAGTGCGCTCCCTTTTCATTTTGAGGATGATTTCCTTTGCTGTGCAGAAACTTTTTATTTTGATGTGGTCTCATTTGTTTATTTTTTCCTTTGTTTCTTTTGCCCTAGGTCAGTGGCTGGCAAACTGCGGCTTGTGAGCCACATGTGGCTCTTTGGCCCCTTGAGTGTGGCTCTTCCACAAAATACCATGTGCGGGCGCGCACGTACAGTGCGATTGAAATTTCGTGGCCCATGCACAGAAGTCAGTATTTTGTGGAAGAGCCACACTCAAGGGGCCAAAGAGGCACATGTGGCTTGCGAGCCGCAGTTTGCCGACCACTGCCCTAGGTGATGTATCTGCGAAAATTCTGCTAAGTGAGATATCAGAGATTTTACTACCTATGGTTTCTTCTAGGATTTTTATGGTTTTATGACTTAAATTTAAGGCTTTTATCCATTTCAAGTTTATTCTTGTGTATGGCATAAGTTGGCGATCTAGTTTCTTTTTTTTGCATATACTAGTATCTGCTCAACGTTCCCAAAACCATTTACTCCATTGTATGTTCTTGTCTCCTTTGTCAAATATTAATTGAGTGTAATGGCTTGGGTTGATTTCTGAGGTCTCTGTTCTGTTCCATTGATCTATGTGTCTGTTCTTGCACCAGTACTAGGCTGTTTTGATTATAATAGCTTTGTAGTATAACTTGAAATCTGGTATTGTGATCCCTCTAATTTTCTTCTTCTTTCTCAGAGTTACTGTGGCTATTCAAAGTATTATTTGGTTCCATATATATTTTTGGAATATTTGTTCTAGATCTGTGAAATATGCCATTGGCAGCTGATTAGGGATTGTGTTGAACCTGTAGATGCTCTGGATAGCATGGACATTTTAATTATGTTAATTCTTCTAATCCATGAACACAATATATGCTTCCACTTCTTTGTATCTTCCTCTACTTCTTTTTTCAATATCCTATAGTTTTCTGGGTTTAGGTTTTTACCTCCTTGGTTAAGTTTATTCCTGGTATCTTTTTTTTTTTTTTTGCAATGGTAAATGGGATTGTTTTTTAGTTCCTCTTCCTGAGAGTTCATTATTGGTCTATAAAAATGCCACCAATTAAACTGTGGTACATCTACACAATGGAATACTATGCTGTGGTAAAAAAGAAGGAATTCTTGCCATTTGCAACAGCATGGATGGAACTGGAGAGCATTATGCTAAGTGAAATAAGCCAGTCAGAGAAAGATAAATACCACATGATCTCACTCATTTGTGGAATATAGAGAACAACACAGACTGTGGAATATAGAGAACAACATGAACAGGGACAGACCCAAAGACAGAGAAACAGCGATCAGACTATCAATCCCCAGAGGGAAAGCAGGGCAGGGTGGGGATAAGGGGAAGA